GTGACTGAACAGTTGCGATAAGGCAAATCCGTCGTGGAAGCGAGGTATGTGAGTGAAGCAAGCAGAAACGAGGTATTCTGAAATCTGAATCTGAGGTGAGTGGGCACATGGCCGCGCAAGAGCAAGGCAGCTAAAAGTGACAACTTCAACCTCTGAAGATGTCTATCGTTGACGCGACAGAATCTGCGACTGCTTTGCACGTGGATCGGAACTTCACACCTGTGGCACTTGCAGTTCGAGAAAACGTGCGTGTCTCTTGCTCGCACGATCCGCTTTCAAGCAAAAGTAATCTCATTCTACAACATGCCTGCTTCCCCAACCACTACGACAATAGCAACAGCGCCACTCCGGGCGTCAGAGCCAATCAAGTATAGCTACGGAGACGACGATGCGATTCTTCTCGACATTGACACATACTTTAAAGAATCCAAATTCGACCTGCCATTGGATGTCGGGGCGGCCTCGCTTCTCCTTGTGGGTCTCGAGTACGTCACAAGCCTCTGTACTGGCACACTCTCAGCCTCGTCGTAACGACATCACGTACACAGCTATCTAATGAACACTCGATAATGCCATGGGTCAATAATATTACTGACCCATGATAATACACAACTCCGTTCTCGTCTTTGCACGACTGTGATGTCAGTCGTCGCCGAGCTCTCGGCGTTTCTGCTATCAGCATTCTAGTACATTGTTCGACGCGAACAAAAAGGAACAAGGTCTGTCTGTGTTGGGAAGGACAGTTTGACTTGCGTAGATTATCCGGTGTTTGTGTAGTGGTGCCGCATCGAAGAAATGCACCACCCGCAGGCAAAAGCAAGCAACCTGGGCAAAAAAGCGTTAATTGACGATTGGTTTCAGCACCAGTGTTAAGGTTGAGCGCTGCTTGTCGGCCAGGATAGTGCATATTAACTCTGGTGGTTGTAGCGAGAGTGCTTGTCTTTCTTTTTGACCTGCGGCTCCGTAATGGGATGACTCACGATGACGTCATGCCTCGTCCCGATGTACGACTCGACCAGAAACGCAGGTCAATCCACACGATGTTGGTGGTCGAGCGAAGACGCAGCACAATACCGGTACATACAGCGTCTATGATACAAAAACAAAGGCACCTAGCGATGCTTTCTTGGCCGCACGCCATCGGAAACGCTAGCAAGCCTGGAACAGCTTACTGTTATTTGACTCGCTCCAGATGGTAGTGTCGAATCATTCAAGACCATGACCACTACATCCGAGAGATCTAAATGCCACTGATAAGTCTTGCACATGCCCTAGCCTTCCACGAACAGCATACGCGATATAGATTGGAGGCATGGCTGCCACCCGAAGACAAAATACGCGACGTGTCGAGCATAATTTCATATACATGCTACAGATATATAGGCGCAAAATGACAAGGAGTGTTAGATCCACACGCCGCTGGCTTCGGTTTCATCGTCTTCAGCGTGTGAGGCAAGCGTTGGCGAAGTCTTGAGCTCGAGGTCTTCATCGAGCGAGAGGTAGGCCAGCGGCAACTGCTCGGCGTTGTCGTCGGTGAGGTGCATTTGATCTTCGTGGGGCAAGTCCAGGTCGTAGATGTGGCTAAGAACGAGATGAACAATTGAACTGCAGTGAGTTAGACACCTCGTCATCTTGGACTTGGAGTAAAGGCTCCGTCGTTTCTCGATGAGTTTGTACGCGGTTTTTAGCGCACCCTCCAGCTACACGTCGTGTTGAAAGTGTGTCACAACAATGCGTAATATTGCCGTACCGTGAGGAGCCAATTGGTCTTCTCTTCCATGCTATCGCAACATAAATAAACGGTCCGGCTCTTGTTGAGCGTGACCGAGAGGGCATATTTGCGCCCTAATGACATTTCTCGTGAGCTTTCGCGCGAGGGCCACTGGGGAGGCTACCGTCGTATAATGACACGTTTCGAACCTACGCAGATGCAAGATGAGCCAAACAATCTTGGAAAGGACAACGCACCATGCCGCTGACGTAGAGCTGCTCGAGGGTCTCGTCTTGGTAGCAGTTGAGTGTGTCCTGCTCGACCTTGCAGTAGTAGCGACTCCAGGTGTCCGGGTGCGCCGTGTCGGCCTCAGGGATGGCATCAACTGTTTGATTCGACTAGATTTCGGTCAGTGCCATGGCCACATAAGAAACACCTTGCTCACCGACTGCTCGTAATGCACATGAAGGTAGCCCATCTTGATCGGGTTGGGGTGGTAAGTAATGTCGTCTTCGTAATCGAGCTCGCCAGACTCGGGCCCGCCCGTTGAATCCTAAATCCACAACGCGGTCAGGGGTCTGCCAATGGACTTTGTACACGAATCGCACCGTTGGTGAGATCAAGGCAGTGAGCTCGAGCGACACTGGGTCCGGGTTCACAGCACGCGTGAGCACCGCAAACCACGCGTTGTAAGCCACGTTCGTGTCGCAAATCAGTTTCTCTTCCTTTCCTGACGCGCAGTGCAGCGAGAGGCCATTGGACTCGCCCGGCAGCGGATGTACCGAGAGCACCTAGAAACAACCGTCACGATGCAGGATTTTAGAGTCTTCCATGACGTACTTCGAGCGTACCCCGCGGCTGCCTGAGATCCTCGCTGTCGTAGTACGACATGACGCGCGTGTTGGCCGTCAAGACGAAGAATCTACACAACTTGCATGAGCGTACAGAGACGGCACGAGACGACGAGTCCCACCGGCGGCTCCACGTCTTGAAGTGCAGCTTCTGCTTCTTCATCCAGCCGCTCAGGACGATCTACAGCCAGATTGGGGTCGCGACCACAGGCCAGTAGCTCTACCCGCTGGTTGGTATCGGGGTTTGTTGAGGTCTTGCGAAGCAGTGGCATGGTCGAGGGATGGAGGTCCGTCGGAGGTCGGCGCGGTGCCTGCGTGCTCGAGCTTGTCGGCTGGGAGTCAAAAATGAGAGTCCAGACCGTGGGCTATACACTGTAACAACCCTCTCTATCCGGATGTATCACCCGCGGTTCCTTTAATGCGGCCCTTTTTACTCGGCATTTGTATGGAGGGCGGCGACGCATCCGCATAAAGCTGCAGATGGCCAGTCGGTGCCTTCCGCGCAAGCATTTTTTTTTCCTTCAAATTTTAAATTGACAATGAGTATCCGTCATAAAATATTTGACAAAAAATGCAGTCGGCAAGTACCCATGTGGCCGGCCAGCCGCTTCAGCCTTGATATTAAATTTCATACAAACACCCAGTTTGGCTTCAGCGTTTGGAATAAAATACTTCAATATGCGGATGTAATCATCGTGGCTCCAGGCGAAAGTCCAAAAGCCTCCACCAAGTCGGATAGAACGTGGCAGCATTTTAGTTGGGCTTTAGCGCATCACTCGATTTCGAACTCGAGATTACACCCTAGCTCGCATTGCCAAAACCATTTGGAGCTCTTTTTACAACCGATTGATAAGCCGTCGAGACATGCTGCAGACGACGCATGACCGTGGCGCATTCTGTGGCGCATAGTAAGGTGCCAGCCAGCGTAATTCGCATCGTTGAATCCGATGCTTGTCGCCAGCTCGGTACTTGAGCTTTGCAGCAGATGGAGAGGGTACGACCGTCGGGTTCGTTTCTATGTTTCAAGATTTTGAACTCGTGTTGTACAGTGTACGAGCACTTTGAGTTGGCAGTCAGCGACCAGGCAGGCACGAGGCGGTGGGCATGTAGCTGGTGGTAGCTGTATTGTGCGCAGCCGAGAGAAGACTGAGGCCCCTAAGCAAGCCAAGCGCCCCGGATAGAAAGTTGCTGCGATCGATGAGTAGGCATGCATGTGACGACGCAGATCGAACGTGATTGGCAATGGTCATTTGCAATGGCATCGCCATCACCACGTTGCCGTTACCACCAGTATGAGATTTCGCCACTTTCGACCGCACGTACAGTACGACCCGACCCAGTGTGCCTCCCAGCCAAAGCACCATTGGATGATGAGGCCAGTGCACCCTGCATACGTGCGTCCACGCAATTCTCGCTTCAGAATGTGTGTGTGTGGGGTCGATTTCAGCGGGCATGTCCTGCAGCAGATCCGATAGTGATCATAGATAGACCCAAGGAGCGACCACGACCAATTACATGTACGCGACCGGCACTGGCATTCAATTGCATGTCCGAACCTTGGCTCGTTGTGGCGGGGTGTCATCGCTATTAAAAGGTACGTTGCTCAACAGCATCGCGACATCCCCAGGTGCCACGTCCTCGCGCGATCCCGCAACATGGCAGCTAACGCTCTGCGCTTGACGCAATGGTTTGCCACGAGCGTAATATTAAGGCCATAATTTTATGACCTTGGTGTTATGCAATAGGATGCTCCCTAGGTACTTTTATTGCATGCCAATGAGTCTTGATCTTGGCCCTGATCTTGGCCACCGCAGCTGGCCACCTGGCACCACATTCTGAGAGGATCTTGCATATCCGGAACCCGGCTTCTATCCGTATACCCTCATTCGACTAGGAGCACCCAAATACACTACGAAAATGTACTGCATGATCCCATGTCAAGCATCTATTGCGACGTCTTCAATTTATAAAGCGTTTTTGTACTACTAGAAATGTTGCAGTCGACAATAAAGACAATTGAATGCATTTACCATCGTCGCCTCGGTCCGACATCCATTTGCGTTGCGTGTTTATAGTTTACCGAAAGCGGATATCCGGACAGTTGGAACGCTGTTGCGCCGCAAACGCCCAATTGGGTTTGGATATCATCGCACCAAGGACCATGACTTCTCGGTCGGCCATGCTCCATGTACTCGTCTTGCTCGTCGCCTTCATGGCCTCTGCCCACGCAGCGTCCAGCTTCATCTTCGATATGGATACGGCCGTGGAGGAGGTACGAACTGCACTGCTGCCGCAGCCGGTAACACGATGCCAGGAATGTTTCCTTGAGAACTTGGACGCGCGCTCGTCCCAGAACAAGCTGCTTTTCCGCTTCGAGATCCTCGAGCCAACGACTTATGGTACGTGTCCGCCGCCTAGATGGGCCACGCCCTTACGCCGCGTAGACGCCGTTGACGTAGCGATTCGGTCGCCGACGGGCCGTATCGTTGAGAGCTGGAACAAGACTACCCGCGCACACACATCGCAGGCGGTTCGTGAGAGGTACCAAGCTAGTTATCTCCAAGTAAGGTCGACTCAAGGCGCTTCTAGCGGCGTGTACCACTTTTGCTTCTCCAAGCTTCCGGCGTCGTCGCGCCGGATCACTGTCTCGTACGCCTTTGACTTTCTCTCGGTTGGCAGTCGCATCATGACGGTGCGTTTGTCCATACTTCAGCGACATCGAACGCCAACGACACGTTCATGTCCAGAGCTATCCAGCGTCGATCACGACGATTGAAAAATCCGACCCGACCAAGAGTACCTACTCCGACATGATCGCAGAGACCACAGCAGTTGTCTTATGCTACTTGATGTTCAATAAGCTGATGAGCTCTCTAGGGCAAGCCAACTAAAATGGCATTCGTCGAGTTCTCGCTCGCTGGGGTTTCCAAAGGCCTTGTGGGTGAAAAGACGCGGTACGGGTTTCGCTATCACCTGCCGATGCTCATGCGATGGGATATAGAATCATGCTGTCCTTTTCCGTCGAATACACGTCGCAACTTTCAATGGACATGACACTGTCGCATGTCAAGGGCGGGCTCAAGCACCCAATGAGCTGGGAGTCCATGGAACACCACGTCGAATCCTTCCAGGTACCCGCACGGATCTTGATCGGCTCACAAGACGTACGATGACAGGCGTCGATTCTGCAAGGCGCGCGGGCCGAAACCGGCGGCATCCTCTCCTTTGACGTCACGGATCTCGTGAGCGGTACGACGAAGCTTGCAGGCGCGACACAAGCCACCATCGTTGCCACTAGATACGCTGCGCACTGGTGGCCAAAGCCTCGCCTTCTCGGTACGCTCTTTGGCTCATTTCGTTACAAACCAAGGATATAGGTGCAATGCGATGAAGACGCCTCCGCGCGCCTCAGCGGAATGGTCGGATCACCGGTCGACCACTGGCCCATCATCACATACGAAGGTACTGGCTGTCTCATTGAAGTTTTCGGCTTGTTCAGTTGTGTGGTGATCGTAGAAATTGGGCTTCACGTCATGGTTGAGATCGCCGCTTTCAAGACGCGTGTGTGGGATCTTAAGGGTAGGCGTATGCGCCATCGCCCGTGGCTCACTGGGGTGGGAATAGGTCAACTGAGCTCAATCTTGCAAAATGAGCGGAGCTCGCGCAACGGTTTGAGCGCAAGGAGGAGACCATGTCTAAGCACTCTTTTGTAGTCGCCGAAAGCGCCAATTCGTCCGTTTTCTCAATGAACATCATCGTCAACGTGGTGCTCGTGGCGATGGGGGTCGCGCAGGTGTTTTACGTGCGCAAGCTCCTCGGTTCAGGCTACTGAGGTGTCGGGCCCGATGCGGCATCGTACTATAATGTATGTTGCCTCTGGTATGGGTTCTGGTTGTCGTTTTCGTCAAGGTTGCCAGCTTCCCAAGGATGCTGACCTCCGAGCCAACCTTTTCAGCCTGGAATTTTGGTGTCCAAACATACACTGTAGTCAATGATAGCAAGACGAGGGAGAAATGAAAGCCTGCACCCAAGGCGATGGAAACTCGCGTGGTCAGCGCTCCTGGAGCTTCTTCCTGGACGGCGGTTCGTTTCGGTAGAAGACAGTTAAAGAGCTGTTGCATCGGAGATTGTACCGGTACTCGAATCCGAAGAGCTCGTCCTTGCTTGTTGCTTGGGCTATGATAGCAGTAGCTATTAGTGCACGTCTCCTTCGTGCTGCAATGCTGACCACGGGCGACAACGGACTTGCCGCACTTCCGACATGTCAGATGGTGGTTCCATTGCGTTGGACTCCGGACGGCGAAGACCGAATTACAAGTCGTTCATGTGCAGCCTGATTGCCAAAAAACCCTAATTAGGCATCAAAACCCGTTTCCAAACCTACCGGAATGACGATCCGAAAATGGTTCAGAGCTGATAACGCATATATTTGACTCGACTAAATAATGTCGAAAAACAACTCCATACTATGTATTGCGTATGCATATTGCTTGCTAGTGTGTGCCTCTTAGATGGCTTGAGGTGCAATTATTTGGAGACGGAATCTTTGCGGAATGGGTGATCCATCTCATGCGCTCGTGGTGCGACGCCACAATTATATCTTGCCCAGCCTCGACTCATGCACGCCCAAACCGTGCTTTGGTCAGCGGGTCTTTTGCAGGTGGCGTTGCTGGCGGCGACCGAGGACTTGATGACGAGCGTCGCAGATACTGCGTCGACACCTGCGTCAGGTACCAAGTCCTTCGAGTACATCACGTGCTCATGGATAGTCGTTTGTGTCTCATGCAGGCTCGACTACTGCGCTGCTAGTGATCGCTACTTCCGTGCCTAGCTTGGCGACAGACGCTTCATCAATGTCGGTGCTACAGGGTGCGGAATTGCCTAGCGCAACCCCAACGTCTCTCGTTTGGACATCAGTGCCTGCGACGATCGGAAGCACAGTGCCTGGGCCAGCAAGCAGTGCATCACCGTCTACCGAGCCCACAACGGCGTCGCCATCAACATCGGCTCCAGCGCCATCGACTGAGAGCCCAGCAACACAAGCTACAACGCCGCAGATCGTGACACCGATGGCAACAAGTGCATTATCTACAACTGCATCCGTATTGGAGGCCCCTGCAGCAGGAACTGCAGACCCAAAGCAGTCAACGACGACGC